TGGCCAAGTGGCAGCATCGATGGACTCAAGTGTGGCAACAGTAGTGAGGTTGGCCCAGGATCAGGCAGTGTTTCATTCTGCTGTGCATAAGGTCGCCATGAGTTGGTACTGACTCGATGGCACCTAACAACAACAACAACCTGTGTGCCATAGGATAAGTACTCAACCTCAAGTTTGAGGTGCAGGTCGGTGATTCAAACTCACCAGCTGCTCCTTGGAAACCCTATACGGGGTCGCTATGAATTGGAACCAACTCGATGGCACTTAGCAACAATCTCCTAGATGTTTCTTCCGTAATGAGAATGAGTCCTCCTTCATGCTTGTGTCTTAGAATTTTTACTTAAGGTTGGGTCCAAACAACCCTAGTAGGATCGGGGGTCCTGGAGAGCCCAGAGGATGATGCCTGGCACCCAGCCATTTGCACATGTGTTGAATATGGGTTCCCGTTTTCCAGCCTCTGCACCAGGTAGTATTATGCTGCCTGCCTTGATTTACCTCATACACTCCTCTGAGCTGCCTGTTCTAGTGAAACAGCAGGAATTCCTCAGTGGAAGAAAAGTCTTCAGTTCATCTCCAACTCTCTTACTCCTGAGTGTTTAAACCATTAAACTATAGTGGAAGCATGTGCAAAAGGAAGAATGAGTGGGTAGACAGAGGAAAAGTTGGATTTATGGATAGATGAAAGAATGAGGGATTGATGAAATAACAGATATATGGATAGACAAAAAGATTGATGTGTGGGTTATTGTTGTTAAGTGCTGTTGAGTAGGTTTCAACTCATACAGACTCTGTACAAATGAATCTTTGTGGGAGCACAAAGCCTCATCTTTCTCCCAAGGAGCAGCTAGTGGGCTCCAACCACCGATCTTGTAGTTTGCAGTCCTGTGCTTATCCTACAGAGCCACTGTGCTCCTAGCTATATGGGTAGAAGGATGAAAAGATGGGTAGATCTATCAGAGGGAAAGCAGATGTTGGAACATAAAACATCTGGCAAAAACTGTCCAAATAAGACCATGCAAAGCCCCAAGAAACACAGCAAAAATGAAGCTATAAGGAGAGATGAAACAGGGGCACAACCTTAGGTTAGAGAGGATGAGTTAAGAGCCCAGACCAGGGAAGATGTCCAAGGTTGAGCTGAAAGCAGAGGAGAATATGGGCATCCAAGTCTTACCCTTCACAAGGGCCTTCAAAACAATGGTTTCAAATTCCTCCGGGCCATCCTCAAGGGAATAGACTGTCAGCAGCTCCTTCCGGGTCATGATCCTCTCTACCTACAATATACCAAATTCTGTGTCCCCAGGCCAACTCTTCCTGGGCAGTGGAGGAAGACTAGCTCAGGGCCTCCTCCAGCGACACTGGAGGCCATTGTCCACCAGGACCTAGTAGTCTGGGTGCCCAGTACACCCTCTCTTTGCTCAGATCCAGGAACGCAGGTCACTGGCCTTTTCCCATCTCAGAATTCAGCCCTCAATGTCATACCTGAGCCTCAAGAACCTCAGGATTTCCTTTGGGAAAGAAATGCCTAATCCGGTCTTGAGCTTCACCTCTTCTGGACCCCCCACTCCCTAGGGCCAAAGTGTCCTCCAGGGTCTCTGCCAGACAGTCTGCAGCACCCCCAGACCCAGCCACCAGGAGACAAGGGAGTTGGGCCTGGGTGGCATCTTCTATCCGCTACAAGATAAAGGAGAGAGGTAGGTTAAGGCAGGCAGGTGTTCAGCCTCCCAGGAGTCCAGGCCCCCAGCCTCCTGCTCCCTTTAGACCCAGGACCCCAGGTCCTCACACCTTTAGCATCTTCTCATCGCCATCAATCAGGAGGAGGAGAACAGGTATGTCAATTCCAGTGCCTGAGAAGAGAAGAAAGCAGAGGGCTTGGGTACCTGGGTCTCTTGGAAGGAACACCCAGGAGACCTCAGATCGTTTCCCATCATCCTTTGCTAAGAATGGGAATAAAAATACATTTCTCAAAAGTCTTTGGGACAAATATGTCCTCTTTCTAGTCCTCGATTCTAAGGTACGTGGAAACTTGCATTTGAGCAGTTTAAGAGAGCACCAGATTTTGAGAACCATAATGTTCCATTTCCCTGGGTCCCAGTTCAAGGCAGATATGAGTTAGTCTTACTCAGGAGCCAGCAGGGTGAAATTTCAAAGATAAAATGACGAAAACACGAACAGAAAGAACTATCTAAACACAATAAAGACTTTTACCAATGGACAACCTCAAACAACCTACACAAGGTTGCTATGAGTCAGAACCAACTTAACGGTATTTAACAACAACCAATTCCTAATAGCAAACTCATATAAAACTGGCTTTATAATATTTCCATTAAAATAAGAAATAAGACCACATTGCTGTTCTTCACACTTATTCTGAACTTTTTAGTTAATGTAATTATTCAAGAAAAATGAATAATGTAATTATTCAAGAAAGCTGAATGAGACAGATCTACCTGAAGAAAACATGATTTGTATTGCCAGAAAATTGGAGCGAATCCACTAAAAAAGCAAGAAAAAAGATTAGCACAAGGATCTGGTAAAAGGATTGGTACAAGAAAAATACACAAAAAAACTAAAATTCTTCTCTAAAATAGTTATAAGACCTACACCTATAAATGCAGTAGCTCAAAAGAGGAAACAAGTCCCTGCTGCAAGAACTATACCCACCCCCTCCACACAAAGGGTAGGCAGGGATGGGCAACTTGGACATTGGCTACCCAAAATGGGGGGAGGGATACAAAGGCAAGAAGTGACTGGCTTACAAGCTTTCAAGAGGGAACCTAGATCCAGAGGGCGTGGAGGAAGGTAGAGTCTCCAGTGAGTGGTGTCCAGCCTGTCCAGGAAGGGCTGATGAAACGAAATATAGATGGGTCTCTTGTGATACAATAGTGAATAATTGTTATCAGGACTGATTGTAAGGGTTGGAAATCTAAAGATGGACATTTTGTAGCAAAGAGGGGAGTGATTAACTTATCAGTCTAGGAGCAGAGGACCCTAGGACCATCAATGGAGAAGAGCGAAGAGCGGAATCCTACCCAGAGAGGCAGTGAGGCCTGGGATGGAGGCAGAGAAGACAATGTCAAGAGATGGTGTGGCTGGGGGCTCGGGATCAGGAGATGGAAAGGAGCTGAGGACTGTGATGGGGGTGGTGCAGGCTCACAGGGTACACCCCTTGGTTGGGTGAGGACACATGGACAGGATGATAGCTATGCAAATGAAATGATGGATGATGGAATGAATGTAAAGCTGATGTTCTCCCATGTAGACTATCACACAATTCACAATAAAACATAAAATAAATAAATAAAATAGCTATAGGTATCTTATTCATGTTTTGTTGAAAATTACAAAATACTTGGGGAGAAATTCATCTGGGAAGGTATAGCATCTTTACAAAGAAACTTAAGAGTCTATTTAGTACAAAGCCTGGATAAATTGAAAAGTTGCTACCCTGTCATCCTGTGACAATTTAACACATTAATTAACTCAATGTCGTTTGGGGAGGCAGGAGGAGTCATGAAAAATTTAGAAGTGTTTTTCTTTTCTTTTTTTTTGAAATGGGACAAAATAATTTTAAAGTTCACATGGGAGACGACCTATCAGAGAAGAGTCAAAAAATATTTTTTAAGAACAGTGAGGGAACTTTCCCTAATATGTATATATGAAAATGTCATTAAACCAGTGTAATCAAAATATAGTTCTGGCACTGGAATACATAAATCAAGAAATGAAAGAGAAAAAAGCTCAGAAACAGGTTTCAACATTTTGTAGGGACTGAATATATAACTGAAGGAGAATTTAGGTTCGACTGGACAAGGATCATTTATTTATTAAATAGTCATGAAGAAAAACGGCTTTCCATCTGGAAGAAAAGAAATGTGTACTCTCGACGTCATAATTTGCAAAAATCATTCCCAGATGGTTTAAAGATTAAAAATAGAAAACTCTAAGATTTTAGAAGAAGACTGAAGAGAAAATTGTGTAGCACTGGAGTGAGAGGGACATTTCTCAGAAGCAGAAAATGCAAAGACTGTAAGAGAGACAAAAGTCACATCTAACCACATACAAATGATAAGATTTCTAAAAAAAAAAACATATTTTAAAGTTTTGCAAGACATATGCTAGTCAAAAGAGCACGATGACTCGGTAGGATACGCACTGGATACAAACAAGTTGGCGGTTCGAGGCCTCCAGTCGCTCAATGGAAGAAAGATGAAACTTCCTGCTCCCGCACAGATTTACAGCCTCAGAAATCCTATACAGGACTGCTATAAGTCAGAATTGACTCGACAGCTCTTACCAACAGTAACAACAACAATAGTCAAGGGAACATTGGTGGATAAGCACTGGACTGCTACCACAAGGTCCATGGTTCAGTCTTTGCGCCCATGAAGATTCACAGCCTTGGAAACCCTATACAGGTCAAGTTGGAACAAACTTGACGGCACCTAATAACAACATGATGGTTACTGATCACTATCCACAGAATATAAGGGTTCCTACAAAAACGTAATAACCCACATTTTAAATGTACAAAGGCTATGAACAGGCAATTCAAAATTGAGGAAATCTGATTGGCCAGCAAAATTTCTTTTTAATTTTTTGTTGTTGTTAAGTGCCATCAAGTCGGTTCCGACCCATAACGACCCTGTATAGGGTTTCTGAAGAGCAGCTGGTGAGCTTGAACCACCGACCTTGCAGTTCAAATGGCTTTGCAGTCTGGCACATTAACCCACAGCGCCACACCAGGACTCCTTCTTTTTAATAGTGGTTAGATAAATGCAAAATCAAATTAGAAATTAGAAATCATTTCTTACTTATCAGACTGATAAAAAAAATTGTAAAGCAAGAATATCCAGAGCTAGTTCAGACTGGATAGAAAAGGACATTCTCACACATTTATGGTGGGAGTGAAATTTATTACAATTTATAAAAGTTTGGACCTAGGGAAGTGGTCATGAGAAAAGTGTAATATATATAGCATGAAAAGGAACTAAAGAAAGAAGCTCCCATACAGGCAGAAATGGAATTGCACAGGATTTTATGTTCATATTTATTGCATAGAGAAAGCTATAAAAGGGTAAACTCCAAACTCTATAACATTGATTACTATAGTAGGGAAGGGTGATTGGAACTAGGAAGGAAAGACAATTTAACTTTCTTTATATATCTTTGTATGATCTAATTTGTTCCAAAGAGCACTTATTAAAGTTACCATATATATTGCATGTAAGAAGTTAGTCTTAGGAGATTCAATGCTGTGTGATTCCATTTAAATGACCTTTGGAAAAGGCAAAACAGATCAGTGGCTGCCAGGAGTTAAGAATGAACGGGGCACTCCTACGAGGGAGTCCTGGTGTGGCACTGTGGGTAAATGCACCTTCCTCTAGGTATCGACGAAAGTATTCTTCTGTCATATCCATATTATCATTCAGTTCAAACTATTTTCTAGATTTTTTTTTCTTTGACCCAGGGATTATTTACAAACTACAATTTATGCAATGTTATATAAGAAGCCATACTGAAAAAAAAAAAACACAAAAAACCACAGACAGTATAAAACTATTAGTATAATATACAAATGCAGTCAAACTATGCTGATGGATAAGCAATATGGTGAATGTAATTAATACCACTGAATTGTACATTTAAAAATGGTTTAAAAAAAAAAATGGTTAAATGTCTTTTAAAAAAAGACCATGCTTACTGGTCAGATAGAACATGGTAGAACTCTTGAGACTGTGCCCTTAAAGTAGCATACTGGTTATGAATCAGGCTGCTAATGTCACGGTCAGCAGTTTGAAACTACCAGCTGTTCCATGGGAGAAAGATGAGGCTTTCTGCT